ATCTGTATTATCAGCTTAATTATAAGCAAACATCAATGTTTGCTTAAAGAATGCATAAATAAATAATCTTGCTAACTGCTTATATGAAAGGAGGAAAAAAAAACCATGGGGATTTAAAGGCTAGTCATGGAGAACCCAAAAGGTATATAATTCACATGGAATCATGGGCCAAGCATTATGCTCCCTGGAGTTCGAGGTATTTTTGCGTATTTTTATAAAAAAATCAAATAAAATCAATCCAGATGGTGAAGAGGCCAACACAATGAAAATATTTTAAAAGAAGGAAAAACTAAAATCAGAAAAAAAGTCCCACATGCTCCTTCCCACAGAGGAAGCTGTGAATAGGTGCTAGATTCATTGTTTTCAAACTCGGGCAAGCTTATAATCACCTAGAGAGATTTAAAAATTACAGATGTTAAATTTACTGCATCAGGATCTGCAGAGGTTGGGGTTTTCAACAGGCTTCCTGAGTGATACTGGTCAGTTAGGATTTGGAACCACTGACCTTGAACATAAATAACCAAAAGCCTCACCAGCTTTAGACCTGGATGTTATATAGTCAGGCATATCCCTTGAACAGGTTACTATTAGATATGTCTCAGATATTCTACTTTTGAATCCTATCCCTAGGAAAAGTTCTTTCCAAATTATGACAATTTCCAATTATGTATGGCAAGTAAATTATTGTAAAGTCCCATGCAGTCTTTATTATTAAACATTTCTAGTAAAGCTGTTAACAAATTACAAGTTTACTAATTTCCTTCACTCTTCAATGTAGCAGAGATGGGTTAATAAGCAGGCGAACTAACCAACAGGGACAGAATAAGAACAGAGAAAGCAAATGTTTGGAGCAATTCACAAACATATCCAAATATAGGTGATAGGGATGGAAGCAGCAAGCCACATTGCCATGTATGTACCTATGCAACAATCCTGCATGTTCTTTACATGTACCCCAGAACCTAAAATGCAATTATATATATATACACATATATATAATGTTTAAATAATGGAAAACTAGATTCCTCCAATATAAAAATGGTTCAATCACCGAAAATCAAATATCACCTCTTAAAATCCAACATTAAACTCAATACCTAAGGAATATCAAACAATAGTAGGGAAAAGTTCTATAGACTATTTATGAGAAAATACTAACGTTTGAAAGTAAGTCATAATTCAGACACTAACACTCCCACTGTATGACCCACAAGAGACACTTCACCTAAACTTGAGTTTTCTTGTTTGTAAAAAATGTAAATTATAATCCCTGTTCTACCTAATCCACAAACATGCTATGGAAGGATACAATAAAATAAGTAAAATGCTTGAAAATGATAATGAATTATATAAAATGCAAGTTATTATTTATTATAAATGCTTATTAGAAACAGTTTTTCCAAGGTTTTAAATATTTGGTAGGCAAAAATTCACTAAAGTCAATTTCTTTTTCCATTTTCCCAACATAAACACTTGAAAATACTTCCTAATTCAAAAGCTGGCATCTTTTCTCTCATTTGGCAAAAACAATTTCCCTCCGGGTTTCCAGTGGAAGCGAAATTATTTTGACTGTTTTTGTTTAAGATTATCAACAAAAACCTCTCCAAATTATGCTGCTTCTATGCCAAAACACATTCTTTACGCAGCACAGTTGTAGGAACGTATTGTATGTGAGCCACTACTGGGCCACAAAGGAGAATTGAGATAGCATATTTTTTCTATCCGTTAGGAATATTCAAAATATTTTCAACACGTCCTTGTTAAGTGGTAGATTCCTTTTCAATATAACATTTTCTTTAACCACAGAATATTAAAAACAGAAAAAAGGAACTATGCTAAGTAATTATTTCAGAAAATAAATATTATAGATGAGTCCAATAGATAGTAAGCTATATAATAATAATTATAAATATTATTTATAGAGCACTTACTGAAATGAGAAAAGTTCCTTATCCCCGTCACAGGGCATGTGATGCTGTGGCTCACTTCTTCGGTGCATGCTGCTCATATCGTTAGGGGAAGAATGAAGATGGGCACGTCGTGGGGAGTGCTGACCCAGAGCAGCCTCTAGGGTTGAGTGTTTACAGCTCCCGAAGCCTCAGTGGGTATGTGTTCCAGTGCACTCTTTCAGTTTTGCCATTGCAGGTGGCTTGCATTAATCAGCTCAATTAGACCCTCTACCTTACAGAGGGCTTTCTGTACCCAGGGTTCTTGTCTTAGTGTACTGGAAAAATTGAATCACACGTGGGCTTGGAGAATGAGTGCAAGGTTTTATTGAAGCGTGGAGGTAGTTCTCAGCAGATGGATGGTGAGCTCGAAGGGGGATGGAGTGGGATGGTGGTCTTCCACTGAAGTCGGCCTCCCAGCAGCTAGACTCTCCTCCAACTGCCCCCGGCCGAATTCTGCCTTGTCCCACCTGGCCTACAGGCATCTGCTGGTCTCTGTGTGCTCTTCTGCTACGCTGCTCCTCTTACTCTGCTCCTCTTGATGTCCAGTTGCCTGTGTGTGTTCATCTGCCTGATGTCCAGCTGCTTGTGTCTGTGATCGCTAGGTTTTTATAGGTACAGAATGGGGGGCAGGGTGGGGCAGGGTGGTCTTGGAAAATGCAACATTTGGGCGCAAAAACAGGAGTGCCTGTCCTCACCTAGATACGTGGGCACAGGCCCGAGGGTAAAGCCCTCACCAGGGACCCCGCCTTTCTCTACACAGCACGTCTGTGCCCTGCTCCCTTATCATTACCATGTGCTAGTTATTGTCTTAGGCACTTGAGATGAGTCTACTTAAAAATAAAAAGATGCGTGTGTTTTTGCATGTGTGTGCACATGCATACACAATCGTATGTTATAATCTTCTGAAAAAGGTGATTTCTCAATCACATTGAACATTCCTAAGAGTGATGGAAACGTTCATCTAGCTGAGTTCATTTATGGTCACTTCTGCTGAACTAGGGTGATTAACTTCTACCTCTAACATTCTCCAAATTGGAAAAATATGGTTAATTCTATAAAACGTAAGTGTGCTAATTTTTTTTTTTTTTTTTTTTTTTTTTGACAGAGTCTCACTCCGTCACCAGGCACCAGGCTAGAGTGCAGTGGTGCGACCATGGCTCACTGCAACCTCCGCCTCCCGGGTTCAAGCAATTCTCCTGCCTCAGCCTCCTGAGTAGCTGGGACTACAGGTGTGCACCACCACGCCCAACTATTTTTTTTGTATTTTTAGTAGAGACGGGGTTTCACCATGTTGGCCAGGATGGTCTTGATCTCTTGACTTCATGATCCACCCGTCTCAGCCTCCCAAAGTGCTGGGATTACAGGTGTGAACCACCACACCCAGCTGCTAAATTTTTTTTAAATCCAGGAAAACTTTCTAGGATCGAAACTGGTTTTAGAGGACATACTCTCAAACTAAATTTATTTTTGTTTTAAAAAATAATACCTTAACTGTATAAAATTTAAATGGATAATATTCTCTAACTGTACTGATGTGTATAGCTTCATGCTATTAATATTTACCAGGAAATTTTCCCCCAACTTTCAGAAAGACAGTAACCTTAATCCACAGGAAAACATCTTTCAGAATATCAGATTCTAAAGTTTCCCTTTCAGAAGCCCTACTTTTTGCAGACTTGGTCAGAGCCAATGGGAGATATAGGTGTAATAAGTCATTTCTGTGGTACCTATTCACTCAGGAGATTTTGGTAGTAGTAAAACATTTTCTTTGAAAGTCATGTTTGTTCTTTTCACCAAAGAGCAACTCTTAAAAGACTTTTTAATTTATTTTCCCACAGAAAAACACTGAGGATATATATATTTGTAAAAGGGCATTATTTAATGCTGACCTTCAAAAGCTTATTGTAAAATACCTCACCGTATAATCTACAGCCAGAGGGCAACTCACCAATTGTGTAGTCCAGTATTTCTGCAGCCTAGGTATCCACACGTACCTGAGGATAACATTGGCAGGTAGTGTGAGGAGCTAGGGGAATGGCGGATGGCACCCAGAATAACGAATAGTGTTACATGCTAAATTTAGTTTAGAAAATTCTGAGTTAATTCAGTAAATATTTAAGGAATGTCAACTACATGCCAGGCTGTCTACTAGATATTAGAACAAAACAGATTTGTACCAGAATTTTCTTAAAGCCTCTAACACTAAAGGCTAGTGTTCACAATGAGCATGGTCACCATATACCCTAGTTTGCTGTAGACAGCCCCAGTTTATAGGCACTGTTCCAGCATTAAAATCATCTCTTTTTACTTCTATAATTCTACATAGGACTCTCTGAAGAGGTGTAGGGGTGTGTGTGGTGTGTGGGTGTGTGTGTGTGTGTGTGTGTGTGTGTAGCAAACAGATTTTCCTAAACTTGCATGACCAATTACATTACATACTTCTATCTACATTCCTACAATCATCTCCTAAAACAGTGGTCTCGGTACGCAGAACATAGTTTGGGGTCTACTCCATTCTCAACATTTGATAGCTGAGGAAACAAAGGATCTGAGAATAAAACAGACTCAGCTAGACACAGGACACTAAAGCCTAGGACTCCTGGCTCATAGAGAGAGCACCAATGCTCTTTCTGACACATCACAGACTGTGATATTAAAGCACTCTTAACATGGTTAACAAGTTCTATTACAAAAATAAGTCACCAAGTTTCACATTTTAATTTCATTTTAAAGGAAGTTCATTTTTTTCTTCCTCAATCATAACTGTAAAATTAATCAAAAACAAAGTCAATGAGAAAATACCTTTTAGTCAACTCTTAAGACTATAATCCCAGTTCACTTACCCTACTCTCTCCTTTCCCTCCCCTCACTCTCCAGTAATTATAAAGTAGCTGATTTCTTTATATCTTCAAAGTATTACTAGCTTCACAGGTGTGTGTTGGGTGGGCGAGGAGAAGTTAAGTCTATCCATAAATCAACAAAATGTTCAGTGTCTACCACAAAGTGTTCTGCTGTAATATTTTACACTTTGGTTCCAAGTGTTTTTTTAAAGTGGGGATACTATAATAATTTCTTGGGCCATATGATACTTACACAAATCCCAAAGACTCAAATTAAAATATAATTCCATTATTATTTTTGAGTTTCTATAAGCTTACCAACAGAAGCTATTTTTTGATTCTGGTTGTACCAAAATGTTTGGCCCTAGAAAAATATCATGGAAAGAATTCTGTATTTAAAAACTAGTTATTCAAATTTTTGATTATCCTCGGCCACTGATATTTCTAGATAACTGCTAAGCATTTTAAGCAACTTAGGTACTTCTTTCAGAGAAAAATGAGTGAATGGTTATATAGTCTTTAAAATGAAAGTCAATGAGCTAAGAAATATAATAGCCTGTTCTAAAAAAGGAAAAGGTAGAAAATGTTAGTTAAAATAGTGTTTAAACTTTTAGGAAATTCATTTCTGTATATCATTTTGTTCATCGCCAATAAAAGGTAATCAATATTAATTAAATATTACACAGATAAGATAACCAGTTAAGCAGATGAAAAGAAAATTACAAGATAAGAGAGAAAAACATTTCTAGAAAGGAACATTTTTGGATTTGTAGATGGTAATTTGAGATGTACATGTAACAGAATATCCTTCTCACATATTGGAAGTTGTGACTGTGTGACAGAGCTTTGATGTTTACAACACAGCAGACTCTTCTGTAATAATTATTTTAAAAGGCTTGCCTATGACAATTTCCCATTTGAAGTAATAAACTTATTCAAGTCTAACTATTGTACTTAGTTATAATCCCATTTAAAAAAAAGAAATACAGATATTGATCGTATCAAACATTTTCATTGAGAAGCTGACACGGACACTCATGCAGTTTACGTGGATGTTCTCAGAAGCTTTCCTGTGTATGAGAAACAGAACTACAGGCCTTTTTGTATAAGTTTCTGTACATCTTGTCCATGCTGTTCTCAAAGATGGGACGGTGGGATTTTCCTTTGTAAGAGGCTGCCCTGTTGGACCAGTATTCGCCATCGTCCAAATGGAAAGTGCCCCGTGGTTGCTGACATGAGCTATAAAAAGAGACATAAAAGGTACAAAATAATAATGAAACAAAATTAGAGATAGTACTATGTAAATCAAGTATTTATTGAGTACTGCATGGGTATTTAATACTCTGCTGGGGCTGTGAAAAATAAAACACAATAATGCCTGTGCTTTCAAAGAGGGACATTTTAAAAGCGGAAGCAGAACTATCTGTGTAAAACTGTTATAAAACAGTAAAATGAAAAGTTTGTGTTAGAGTTAAAAAGGAATTCAGAGAATAGACACAGGTGCAGCATGATAAAAGCAGAACACAGGTGACCTGGTATGGCCAGCATAAAAATGCATCGTTGCTAAAAGTCAGGCACACTTGAAACTGAATTCCAGCTCAGTCCTTTATAAGCTGTGAGACCTTGGGCAATTTATTTAACTATCCAGAATCCCAGCTTTTTAAACTTTAGTTTTACAGAATTGTTTTAAAATTTAAACATAGAAGTTATTAAATATGAGACATTAAACTAGGTACTTTATATATATTTAAGAATACATCTTACAACACTTAGAATTTGGTAGATACAGAAATTAAGACTCAGTGAAGTTAAGTGACTTGTCTAAGACTACTCAACTAGCAATTGGCAAAATGAAAAAGGAGACCGTGTGTGCTCTAAGGCTCTTTCTACTACGCCATGCTGCTATTGCCCTCAGAGTAGAAAATTAGGCTAAATAAGAACATTTGTGGAAAATGGAAACAAAGCAGAAGAGTTTGAAGTGAAAGGATCAACTGTAGTTTTGAGGGTCTTAAAGAAAAAAGAAAGTAGGAGACAGGAAGGGAGGGAGGGGGAGAGACAGCAAGAGAGACAGAGCAAGAGAGAGAGAGCACACGTGCATGTAAGTGAGAGCGAGCCTGTAGAAAGCTAATGAAATAGACTTATGATTGATTGGGCTAGCTGTGATGAAGACAGAAATAGAAAGGCAACTCTTTCTTAAGGATTAATAGCACTTTTATGCTATCAGTGTTATAATTTTACTAACATAAATATTAAGTTCTGGAATTATATTTTTTATGGATAAAATGTTGAGTTTCTTTTCTTTTTTCTTTTTTGTTTTTTTTTTTTTTGAGATGAAGTTTCACTCTTGTTGCCCAGGCTGGAGTGCAATGGTGCAATCTCCACTTACTGCAACTTCTGCCTCCCAGGTTCAAGCGATTCTCCTGCCTCAGCCTCCCTAGTAGTTGGGATTACTGGCATGTGCCATCATGCCTGTCTAAATTTTTTGTTCTTTTAGTAGAGATGGGGTTTCTCCATGTTGGTCAGGCTGGTCTCAAATTCCCGACCTCAGATGATCCACCAGCCTTGGCCTCCCAAAGTGCTGGGATTACAGGCCTAAGCCACAATAGTCAGCCCAAGTTTATTTTCTTATATAAATAATTGACCTATTTCAATTAATGAAATAATTTTTATAGATTAGACCTACCAGGTCTGTTAGAGATTGCAAAGTTTCTTCCTGAATACACACAACCTACAAACCAAGATTAAACCATGAAAAAATACAAAACCTGAACAGACCAATAATGACTAACAATATTGAAGGAGTAATAAAAACTCTCTTTTAAAAAAAAAAAGCCCTGGATCTGTGGCTTCACCGCTGAATTCTACAAAATATTTAAAGAAAAACTAATAAGAAGTCTACTCAAAATATTACAAAAAATTGAAGATACAAGAAAACCTATTTTACCTAGCATTACCCTGGTACCAAAATCAGAAAAAAAAAAAACCACAAAAACAAAAATAAATACAGGCTAATATTCCTGATGAACATATGCAAAAATCCTCAACAGAATATCAGAAAATTGAATTCAACATGAAAAAGATCATTCACCATGCTCAAATGGAACTTATTCCAGAGATGCAAGGATGTTCAACATGTGCAAATCAATAAATATGATACATAACATCAACAGAATCAAAAACAAAAAAGTAAAATCATTTCAATGGGTGCTGAAAAAGCATTTAATACAATTCAACATCTGCTCATAATAAAACCCCTTCATAAACTGGGCATAGAAGGAACATACCTCAAAATGATAAAAGCCATATATAACAAACTCATAGCTAATATTATACTGAATGGGAAAAAAAATAAAAAGCCTTTCCACTAAGATTTGAAGATGGATAAAGATGCCCACTTTCACAACTTATATTCAACATAGTAATGGAAGTCCTAGCCAGAGCAATTAGGGGAGCGAAAGAAATAAAGCAGATCAAAATTGAAAAAGAAGTCGAATTATCCTTTTCTACAGAAAATATGATCTTATACTTAGAAAAACATAAAGACTCCCCCAAAATTAAAATGAATAAACACATTTAGTAAAGTTGCAAAATAAAAAATTAATATGCAATAATCAGCATTTCTATATGCCAACAGTAACAATCTGCAAAAGAGATCAGAAAGGCAATCCCATTTCCAATAGCAAAAAGAAAAATAAAAAAGAAAAAAAGAAAAAAAATTTGGCCGGAAAAGTGAAAGATTGCTAAGATGTGAAAGATTGCTAAACTATAAAACACTGATGAAAGAAACTGAAGAGAACACAAGAAAATGGAAACATAGTCCATGTTCATGGATTGGAAAAATCAATATTGTTAAAATGCCTATACTACCTAAAGCTGTCTACAGAGTCAATGCAATCTCTATCAAAATACTAATGACATTCTACACAACAACAACAAAGAAAATCCTAAAATATATTTGGAACCACAAAAAAAAAAAAAAAAAAAAAAAAAAAAAAGAAAACTAGAATAGCCAAAGGAATCCTGAGCAAAAAGAATGAAGCTGGAGGCATCACATTACCTGACTTCAAATTAAACTGTGACACTACATTAACCAAAACAGCATGGTACTAGAATAAAAACAGATGCATAGATCAATGGAACCGAAAAGAGAATGAAGAAATAAATCCACACATTTAAAGTTAACTCATTTTTGACAAAGGCACCAAAAACATACACTGCAGAAAGGACAGTCTTTTCAATAAATGGTGCAGGGAAAACCAGATATTCTTAGGCAAGAAAAATAAAAACAGTGCCTATCTCTTACCACACACAAAAATCAAACTAAAACGGATAAAATACTTAAATGTGAGACCTGAAAGGATGAAATTATTAGCAAAAAATATTGGGGAAATGCCTTAGGATATTGATCTGGGCAAAGATTACTTGAGTAACATCTTAAAAGCACAGGCAACCAAAGCAAAAATAAACAAATGGAATCTTATCAAGCTAAACAGCTTCTGCACAGCCAAGGAAACAATCAACAAAGTAAAGAGATATAATACAGAATGGGAGAAAATGTTTGCAAGCAACTCATCTGACAAGGGATTAACAACCAGAATATATAAGAAACTCAGCAGCAAAAAACAAAACCAAACAAATAATCTGATTTCTGATTTTAAAATGAGCAAAAGATCTGAATAGATATTTCTGAAAAGAAGAAAGAAAGTAGTCAAAAGATGTATTTTTTAAATGCTCAACATCACGAATCAACTCAAAACCAGCAATAAGAAATCTCAACCCAGTTAAAATGGCTTTTATTTTAAAAAGACAAAAAAAATCATGCATGCTGGTGAGGATGTGGAGAAAGGGGAATGCTCATACACTGTTGGTGGGAATGTAAATTAGTATAGTCTACTATGAAAAACAGTACGAAGGTTTCTCATAAAGACAAAAACCACAAAACACTACATATAGAACTGCTGTATGATCCAGTAATCGTACTGCTGGGTATACAGCCAAAGGAAATAAAATCAGCATATCAAAGAGACATCAGCACTCTCATATTTATCACAGCATTATTCACAATAATGAAGATATGAAATCAACCTAAGTGCCCATCAGTGGATGAAGGGGTAAAGCAAATGTGGGAAATGTATTCAATGGAATATTATACAGCTGTTAAAAAAATCTATTCATTAGCAACAACATGGATGGAACTAGAGGACATCATGTTAAGTGAAATAAGCCAGGCACAGAAGGACAAATATTGCATGTTCTCACTCATCTGTGGCAGCTAAAAAAGTTGATCTCATGAAGGTTGAGAGTAGAATGATGGTTACCAGGGACTTGGAAAGGGAGGAGGGAACAGGGGGTTTGGTTAATGAGTAGAAAAATACAGTTATCTCATGTCTGTAATCCCAGCACTTTGGGAGGCCGAGGTGGGTGGATCACCAGGTCAAGCAATGAGACCATCCTGGCCAACATGGTGAAACCCCATCTCTACTAAAAATACAAAAAAAAAATTAGCCGGACATGGTGGCACATGCCTGTAATCCCAGCTACTTGGGAGGCTGAGACAGAAGAATCGCTTGAACCCAGGAGGCGGAGGTTTCAGTGAGCCGAAGAATGCACCATTGCACTCCAGCCTGGGCAACAAGAGCGAAACTCCATTTCAGGAAAAAAAAATAAAAAGAAAAGAAAAATACAGTTATAAAGGAGGGATAAGCTTTAGAGTTTGACAGCCCAGTAGGGTGACTATAGTTAACAATAATTTGTTGTATATTTCAAAATAGCTAGAAGAAAGATTTGGAAAGTTCCCAATACAAAGAATTGATAATGTTTGAGGTGATATCCCAATGACCATAATTTGATTTACTACACACTATATACATGCATCAAAATATCATATGTACCTTGGGTATATGTGCAATTATTATGTACCAATGATTTTTTAAAAAATAAAGAGAAAATTTAAATTACTCAAGATGAAATTCTCATGAATAATTTCATAACTGAAACATTTTTATTGAGCATATCTGTATTATCAATATCCTCAAAATAATGCAAAAACAAACAGAAAACAGTTTTTATCAATACCTTTCTATAAAAAAACAAGTGTTAAAAATTCTATATAACAGCCATAATAGAAGAGATCATATTCCAAACACAAATTTAAAATTATTTTTATCTTTATTTTTCTTCTTTTGTGGCCAGTTCCCATTTACATGAAGTATCACTTCAGGCCTGGTCATTAAAATTTGGGCTGCTGCTGAAATAGAGTAGTGATGCGAGAAACACACAACAAGAGAATTTTAAATCTCCTGAAAATGGAAGAAATTTGAAATGAATGTAGAAGGTACTAAAAGGAAGAATAAGCATCCTCTATGGCCCTGGGGATTGGCAGGGCTATCATAGCAAATGTCTAAAATGTATTAGATGCCACACGATATGAAAGCAAGGAGGAGGTCTTATGGGTTGTAGATTCCTTCCCTACTTAGCTCCCCAAACCAAACGTTTTGGAAATAAGGAGTCATTTATTCAGTTCTTGATAAGAGATTTCTTTCAAATGAGTTTCAACTTAAAGGTGATAGAAGACATGAGACAACTATCGTAGATAAGTTGATACCTGGAAGATAACATAGGAAACTGTGTTATCCCACTCTGCTCTTCCTGTAGAAAAACACCGAATATCTGCTAGACCCCATGGCTGAAAACCTCAATGTGTATATAGACTTTAAAAAAAAATTATTGAGTGCTGAGCATACTTTTTCTTGAGAAAAACACAAAGAAATAATTTTTTTTTTTTTTTGAGACGGAGTTTCACTCTTGTTACCCAGGTTGGAGTGCAATGGCGCCATCTTGGCTCACCGCAATCTCTGCCTCCTGGGTTCAGGCAATTCTCCTGCCTCAGCCTCCTGAGTAGCTGGGACTACAGGCGCGCACCACCATGCCCAGCTAATTTCTGTATTTTTAGTAAAGATGGGGTTTCACCTTGTTGACCAAGATGGTCTCGATTTCTTGACCTCATGATCCACCGGCCTCAGCCTCCCAAAGTGCTGGGAATACAGTGCTGGGAATACAGGCCGGTTATCGCGCCCTGGCCAAGAAATAATTTTGATCTCTTTATTAATGATTTTTATTCGCTAAGTCATTGTCAGACTTTAATTCTTTAAACACGTTTTCCTTTAGCTTTGAATGTAGCTGCCTTGAAGTGTGCTGAATCTAACATCTAGACTTCCTCAGAGTTTCCAGTAATTCATTTTTCATGTATATGGGTCATACTTTCTTCTTTACATGTCTCAAAGTTTTTGTAGAAAATGATGTTTCAGATCTAGTTGAAACTGCAGCAACTCTGTATTCCTTTCAATTCTTTAATGATTTGCCCAAACTGATACTGTGAACTGTTTCCTTCATACTGTATAGCTGCTTGTTTCTCTCATTTTTTTTAATAGTTGCTATTTTATTTTTATAGATTTAGGGGATACAAGAGCAGTTTTGTTACATGAATATATTACATCATGGTGAATCTGGGTTATTAGCTTTTAGTGTACTCATGGTTCAACAGTGAACCCTAATCAACAGGTATTTTTTTCAACCCTATCCTGCCTTTTAGAATTTCCACACTTTCCCACCTTTTAGAATCTCCAGTGTTTATTATACCTTTCTTTACGTCCATGTGTACCCATTGTTTAGCTCCTATTTGCAATGGGAACATGTGGTACTTTACTTGGCTTCTTAGGGGCTACCACGGAGTCAACATAGCTTAGTGACCAGTAAATGACTAGTCAGAGCCAGTAAGCCTAGAAGGCTTCCATATTTTGCCAATGGATCTATATGTGGCTTTGAGAATATAGTCAAAGTTTGTCTAGTTTACAAGTCTGCCCTGGATTTTACTTTCTCCCTTTACAAGGCTTCACAGTCAGTCATAAATTAGTAGCTCACTAAGGCCTTCACCAATACCTCTCAAGCATATGAACAGCCTTATGCATGAACATAATCTTCTACCCAACCAGGAATAAGCAGAATTTTATCGAGGCCAGCCAACTGTGGTCTTCTCTCAAAATCTTTACTGTCTGCTCCAACCAGTATTAAAACTTCATGTCTCCCCTGCTTATTGCCAAAAAACCACTACTGTTTCTGTTAATGGAATTTCCCATGCTCTGCTCTCCATATAGTTAGCTATTTTTGGGAGCAGAGCTGCCAGTATTTCAACATGAATTCCCTAGTATAACTTTTTTGCAATGGAGCTGGGAAGTGGTAGATGGGGATGGAATCTCCAGGATATAATGTCACAGACTCTAACTGTTCTTACTAAGATTCAGCAAATTTTTAAAGTTAATTTTTAAATTGATACATAATTATACATATTCCTAAGGTACATATGATATTTTGATGCATGCATGCAATACGTAGTTAATCAAATCATGATAATTGGGATATCACCTCAAACATGTATCAATTCTTCATATCGGGAACATTCCAATTCTTTGAGCTGTTTTGAATATACAACAAATTATTGTTAACTATAGTCACCCTACTGGGCTGTCAAACTCTAGAGCTTATCCCTTCTTCATAACTGTATTTTTCTACTCATCAACCAACCTCTCTTCACTCCCATTGCCTCCTCCCCTTCCCAGTCCCTGGAACCACCATTCTACTCTCTACCTCCATGAGATCAACTTTTTTAGCTGCCACAGATGAGTGAGAACACGTGATATTTGTGCCTGTCTTATTTCACTAAACATGATGTCCTCTAGTTCCATCCATGTTGTTGCTAATGAAAAGATTTCATTCTTTTTTATAGCTGAATACTATTCCATTTCTTTATTATTGTGAATAATGCTACAATAAATATGGGAATGCTAATATCTCTTCAGTATGCTAATTTTCTTTCTTTTAGATAGTATAATGAGTAGTTTTTTTTGTTATATGCTTTTGGTCAATTCCAAGAGTTCTTAAATTGTTGTTTTTGACAATTCTGTTCAGCTTGTTTCTTTTGGGGAAGAGGATTTGCTGACTCCTCACTCAGTCATTCCAGAGGTTCATGCAAACAACTTCTTGATGCCTGTGTCAAACAGCATCTATAGAGGGTTGATAGTAAGTCAAGACTGAAAACTTTTTTGACTTCTGCTGATAGAAACCTCAAGGCTAGCAAGGAGGTAATTACTTTGAGTGTAGTTCCTCTAATCTTCGAGATGGAAAGCAGAACAGAGGACTTCTTGGCGTAATATATAATATTACTTGAGAATAAAACTAAAATAATATCCTAATCATTGCAATAGCTTCTGGAGCTAATATCAAAGATACTCTTCTAAAAGGTCTTGAAGGACTGACCATTTCATATAATTGATTCATATATATGAACCTTACATATATATATATATGAGAAGTGGCAAAAATTATAAAGTGATCTCAAAAATGTGTAAGCAGAACTTTTCTGACACTCTGCTTAACTCTAATTTGAGAGGCACCAAATTGTTCAGGGTGATTAAAAGCTTAATAACACTGCTTGGTGGCTGAAAAAAGCACCAGTATTGGGGTTTACGGCAAACTTTAAATTGATAGCAGCACTCTTGAAAATGTAGTCTTTATCTACATTAGGATTACCCAAGATATTCCAATTTTATTTTATCTTATTTATTTTGTAGAGATAGGTTCTTGCTATGTTGTCCAGGCTGTTCTGAAACTCTTGGCCTTAAGTGATCCTCTTTCCTGGGTCTCCCAAAGCACTGGGATTACAGGTATGAGCCATTGCACCTGGCCCCATGATATCTCTTAAAATATAGATTTCCACGTCTATAAGAACCAGGATCTGTGGGGGTAAAAAGTGGAAATCTATATTTTTACAAAACAATTTAGATAATTTGAAAATAAGACTCTTATATCAATTCTTCTCACTTTTTGCCCAAATTAGAATTAATTATATGGGTTAAGCACCCAAAATTGGGATGCTAATCCATATAACTATCTAGGGAATATGTCTTTACCAAAGAATAACGAAGGGTAAAAAAAAAATCTTCCTCAGGATGTGTACTTCTTTTCCTCTTTGGATTACTTCTTCTTCAAATTTGCCTATAATAAACTATTTACTTTAAAGAGAAGCCCAGATTGCTTCTTGTTTGAGAGGCAGTAACTTTGAGAAAGGAGGTCACACTCCCACTTATGCTCTGTGTAAGGGGCAAAAGGAAAAGTCCTCACATGTTCATAGATGGTCTAGCTTAGCTTACCAGAGTAAAGATCAGAGACTTGAATGCAAAACCCAAGTTAGCAATAAAAAATATTACATTCTTTGGAGAGAGAGAGAGAGAGAGAGAGAGAGAGAGAGAGAGAGAGAGAGAGTGTGTGTGTGTGTGTGTGTGTGTGTGTGTGTGATTTATTAGACAGGAAGAAAGAGAGAGAGAAGACAACTCCCACGCTGTTTTGGGAGTGAAACCCAGAGTGGGAAATCCCTGGAGCTTTGTTTCTTGTCTTTGTTCCTCAGGAATCTCAGGAAAGTGAAAACTGTGTTATTTTAGTAACTAGTGGTATAGCATCCAAGAAGTCAAAGAACCTTTGACTGTATAAATCCCAAATTTACAGTTTTTAATACTGTATTTTATGGCATTAACACAGAGCTGTCAAAAGTCTTGATGAGATTTGCTCAAATAAACTTGTATAAATGTTATTAACATTTTTCAAATTTTAAGCTAGAAGAACAGAATTTGCTCCTACAGAATTTGATCTTAAATTATTAAAAAGGTTGGCTCATGGTCTAAAATTATAACTTTTTTTATATTAGAATTCATACATTCTGAAATATGTAAGTTTTCAGGACAGACAAATCTTAAGTAGGATGAAAGGCATGGTTAATAATTGACTATATTTGTTTTTATGGATAGGTTTCAGTAATGCAAACATATTAAAATATTTAATAGAACTTTAGAGTTAAAAATAAGAATATACTAATTATCCTTTTGAGTTTAAATTTCCTACAAATTCAGCAGATTATAAAACAGCTATTTTTATAAGAACTATGAGAAAGATATACATATATATCATTCATACCTATACTCGGGGTCACTGTCATAGGCAGAGTCTCTGTATAAAAGACTTCTTTTCAGTTCCAGTTCATCATCTTTCTCTAGGTCTCTCTCATCCTGAAAAATGTTAAAGATTTCCATTAATTCACTGTCTCATTGTCCCCAAAATAATGCTGAGGTTTCTTCAGAAAATGTTCTTCTCCTCCCCGTATAAATTCAATTTATAAGAAACTGAATTAAATGCTAGTGTTTCTTTGGGAAAAAAAAGTTTAAGTGAGGATTTACTATCCTTTTCAATAAACCTATATGGTTTTATTATAGTTTTTGCTAATATTGGTTATCAAAGACTAGGTAACCAGTTATAACTCTTGAATCCATAAAAATATAGGACTGAATCCTGTGTCAAGACATGTAAGTTAATAATTTACATTGTTATATGAACTCTAGAGATTGTACCTGCATTCTGAGGAATAAGGATTTGAGAAAATTATCAGATTTATGGCTTATGATGAGTTTCAAGTGTGGATCTCTGAGTTTATCCTACTTAAGAGTTTATTGAGCTCCTTAGATAACAATTTTCTTCAATTTGGCAAGGACCATTATTTTTCTAAATATTCCTTCTGTCCCTTACTTTCCCTGCTGTCTTTTTGGAATTCTTATTACAGGTACGTTGGCATGCTTAAAGGTATCCCACAAATCCGTATGTGTTCATTATTTTTATTCTTTTTTCTTTCTGTTCCTCACATTTGCCATTTCGCTATTTTCTATGTCTATTTTCTACCTCTCCATTGTTGCCTTCTTTTGTTTTGGAAATTTTTCATTGTTCATTTTAATTCCCTAAACACTATATTTTTGAGATACTTTCTTAGTTTACACAAGGATACAAGAATTTTAACATGCACCTATGACTTACAAAGGAAATGACTTAGACTTATTCATCACAAGCCAAAATGCAGTAACAAGCCAGAAAAGGCAAAAATGAAAGGCAAGGTAATTTGAATGAAAGTATATGGTTCCCCCAACCTTGTACGGGCAGCCTGTTCTTAATTTCTAATAGACACATACAAGGACATTACAAATAGTATTCGGAAGAGATGGCTTTGTTAACCATATCATTCACAGTTAAGTTCATATGTATGGTAATTTTATATAATTTTATATCAAATACCTTTCTCAACTACTAGCCAATATCGTTGTGTTCCTTAGTCAAACAAGAAGAGAAATAAGCAGAACTAATAACAAAAGGAACTAGTAAACACAAATAAGGATTAGTAACGGGTTCATTCATTTTATGTAAGAAATCAGCTGAACATACATTGTGAAGAAAAATGATTTTAAAAACTTGCTGATGGCATGAAACTAGGAAGAGAGCATTATATAATAAACAATAGTTTAAAAATCACAGAAAATATGCATACACATTTAGAATTGTTATAGTTTCACAGCATTATCACTATGAAGTAACCTTTATTTCCATAACTGCTTTTTTTTCCCTTTAACCTTTTTTGGTCTACTAGTCATATAGATATAACCACTTTCTTTTAGTTAGTGTTTTAATGGTATATATTTGTCCTTTTATTTTCAGCCATTTATTATTATTAGATCTTTTTCTTGAATAGTATATTATTAGATGTTCCTTATTTTTACCTATTCTGAGAAGTCAATGAAGTGGAACATTTAGTCTATTATCAAAGAAAATGTAATTGCCCATAGTGAGTGTGAAAGACTTGGCAAAGAAAAGAAATAAACAGGATAGCTGTCTTAAAGGGAGTGAAAACATAACCACTAAAACTATTCCTGTAGAGTAGGGATATCATAGAGGGGAATTCAGACCTGAGAAACAAAAAGGAACAGATTAGCTTAAAGGTTATTCCTTTCAAATGTTCAGACTATATTTTGTGACACTATATATATATATATATACATATATATATATATATATATATATATATATATTCTATACATGTACCCATCTTTTGTAAGAGTCCCTGTATAGAGTATTTTTTCAAAGGGAAAGTTATTCGAAAACGAGGAGGCAAAAAGCATTACACCTTATTATAAGCTATTAACTATTTATTGGTCTTCTCTTATTTTGCATATCTTGTAATTTTGTGTTGAAATCTGGAAATTTTAAGTAATAGAATGTGACATATATGGAATGAATATTTCCTTATTTACATTCTGTCTGTTCTATCCACTGGTGACTGTGGGATACTGACATCTCTATTACATTGCATATCTATTTCTTCTTTCTATCAGTTTTGCTTATATTATTAGAATGTCTTTTAGGTGCATGTATATTCGTAATGGTCATATCTTCCTCACAGTTTGACCCTGTTGACATTATAAAATTTTTTATTTGTCTCTAGTAAAAAAAAATTCTCTTAAAGTTTATTTGTCCAATATTTGTTTAGCCACTGCAATTCTCTTATGCTGTTTGAATGATATGTTTTTGATTCCTTTTACATTCAACTTATTTGTGCCTTTGAATGTAAAGTGCATCTCTCGTAGACAGAATATAGTTGAACCATGATTTTTATCCAGTCTCCAATATTCTACCTCCTAATTGGAGTGTTTAATTTTTTTTTTGTTAAGACGAAGTCTCATTCTGTCACCCAGGCTAAAGTGCAGTGTCGAGAACTAGGTTTATTGCAACCTCAGCCTCCCAATTTCAAGCAATTCTCCTGCCTTAGCCTCCCAAGTAGCTGGGACTACAGGCACATGCCACCATGCCCGGCTAATTTTTTTTATGTTTAGTAGAGATAGGGTTTCATTGTTTTAGCCAGGATGATCTTGATCTCCTGACCTCGTGATCTGCCTGCCTCAGCCTCTCAAAGTGCTGGCATTACAGGCGTGAGCCACTGTGCCCAGCCCTAATTTTTTAAATATCATGAATTACCTATGAGACAAGATTTACATTTGCCATTTTGCTATTTTCTATGTCTTTTTTCTTCTATTTCTCCACTGTTACCTTCTTTTGTGTTAGGTATTTTCCAGTGTTCATTTTTAATTCCCTATACACGATATTTTCGAGACATTTTCTTAGTAGTTTCCACAAGGATAACATCTTAATACAGAAGAATCTAAGTTTAGATGATACCAACTTAATTTCAACTGGATATGGAAACTTTGCTCCTTTGTATTTATAATCTCTCCCCTTTATTTAATTGCTTTTACACCAATTATATCTTTATATAATATGTTCCCAAAATATATTTATAATTATTGTTTTGTGAGATCATCTTTTAAATCAGATAGAACTAAAGAGTTACTAGCAAAAACTGCATTTAGTCTATCTTTTATATTTACCTAGTTACCATTATCACTGCTCTTTATTTCTTCCTGTGAATCTGAGCTACTGTCTAGTGTCCTTTCACTTCATTCTGAAGGACTCCTTTTAGTATTTCTTGTAGTGCAGATCTGCTAGTGATAAACCTCGTTTTATTTGAGAATGCCAATTTATCCTACATTTTTGAAAGACAGTTTTGCTGGATATTCATGGTTGACAGTTCTTTTCTTTTCAGTACACCGAATACATCATCACACTGCCTTTTGGACTCCATAGTTTCTGATTTAAACCAGTTTAAAATCTTATTGAGGAACACATTAATGTGATGAATACCTTCTCTCTTGCTGCTTTTAAGATTCTCTTTTTGTCTTTGGCTTTTTCAAAATAACTTTTTTCTAGATTTAGGGTCTAACTCTGTCACCCAACCTGAAATACAGTGGCAAAATCATAGCTCACTGTAGCCTTGAACTCTTGGGCTCAATTGACTCTCCCGCTTCAACCTTCTGAGTATTAGGGATTACAGGTACTTGCCATGATGCCTGGCTTAACTTTGGCTTCATTCTTATGGTTTATTATGAATCTCAAGTGCGGATTTCTTTGAGTTTTTCCTACTTAAGAGTTTATTGAGCTCCTTAGATAATATTTTTCTCCAATTTGGGAAGGACCATTATTTCTCCAAATATTCCTTCTGCCCCTTTCTTTCCCCATCTTTTTCTGGAATTCTTATTACAGGTATGCTGGCATGCTTAATGGTATATCCCACAAATTGTATGTGTTCATTATTTTAATTCTTTTTTCTTTCTGTTCCTCACACTGAATTACCTTACCTGACTTGTCCTCAAGTCCAATTGTATTTTCTTCTGCCTGCTCAAATGTGCTAATGAGTCCTCCTAATACATTTTTCATTTCTGGAGTTTTTCACTTCAAAACATTTTCATTTCTGAATAAGGTACTTGTCAACTTGAGAATTTTTATTTGGTTAATTAAAAAATAGTTTATAACTTTTGATTGAAATGTTATATTTTATGACACATAATTCTAACACTTCATTTCTTCAGAACTGCTTTCTTTTGGTTCCTTGAATAAATATATTTAACATAACTGATTTACAGTCTTTGTCTATTGAGTCCAATGTGTAAGATCCTCAAGGACAGTTTCTAGTCATTGCTTTGTTATCCATTTCCACTGTTTATTGTTGTTTATTCTAGTTCTTAGTTTCATGATTTTCTTCGTTCTGCAAAGTCAATATTCTTTTTGGGGGGTGATCACTGATATCTCTATACTGTTAGCTGAGTCATCAAGTACTGATTGGACAGACATTTCTATAAATCCTTAGAACCATCAAGTCTCCCAGTGTTTGCTGAGTGGCTCTGTATATTGGGAGTACACTTTTAACAATTAGCCTAACCCTTAACTTCTTGTTTATGCACAGCCTTAAGGTAGGTTGGAATCGAAAGCTTAGGGCCTTCTTGTCTTTTCTAATCAAGTACATAGCCCTGGACATATGCACAGTCCTACAAATATGAGTGGTCTTCTAAAATCCCAGGAATATGTGGTAGCTTTTCAAAGCTTTATTGGTCTATTGTTTAATTCAACTGCTATCCACCATTTCTGTTTGCAATGAGGTTAAACAATCTCCCCTCCCCTCCGCTCCCTTCCCCTCCTTTCCCTTCCCTCCCCTCCCCTCCCCTTCTTCCTTCCTGATGGAGTCTGGCTCTGTTGCCATGCTGGAGTGCAGTGGTGTGATTGATCTAAGCTCACTGTAATCTCCACGTCCCAGGTTCGAGTGATTCCCTTGCCTCAGACTCCAGAATAGTTGGGACTACAG